GAACAGGACTCTCCAGAATCACACCAGCTACAGAAACAGAGAAAATGTGTGCTGATTGTAAATAGTATATGGCAACTATATGGTAACAAAAAATATATAATAATAATAATATTAAAAGATTTTTACATTTTCTTACAAGGCTACATTTTTGGTATCTCCTGCCCATTGAGTGTTTGTATGTTTGTAGTGCAGACTGATGCTTCCTGTTTTTGTTTAATCAACTGCTTTGTGTACTGTATTGTAAATGAAAATAATATTTAAAAAAAATCTTAAATGAAAAAAAAAAATAAATACAGAAATATAGACTCACGTTGTACAGTGATATTAACAGGATGACTGATCTCTCCAGATTCAGACTGACACCAGTAAACTCCAGTGTATGGTGGGACGGTGTAGCTGATTGTACATGTAGATCCTGTTTGTGATCCCCAGCGTGATGAACAATCGAACAGTCCCAAAATGTCTGAGTATCTTCTCACTCTCCATCTATCAGAGTTACTCTGGTCCTCACAGCTCAGAGAGAGAGAGACAGATGTGAAGTGTTGAGTTCTGCTGGGACTGACGATCAGAGAGACTGGAGGAGAACCACCTGAGGAGACAATTACAGCTACAATTTGGAAATCAAGACCATTTTATTTATATAACACTTTACACAATGTACACTTCTTTTGTTTCAAAACAAAATAACATATTTGTAACATATTTGTAATTATGCCATCAGCAAGCAAGCTAAAGACAACTGAGACAACTTCATGAAGTGTTAGTACTGGAGGAAAAAACCTTCAGAGAAACCATAATTATTTGATTTAATCCACCATTATCTCAATTCTAATTAAGTACAAATTAATTGTATTCAGTTGTGTTGTGGGCAATAAAACAGTCCAGTACATTATTGTTAAACTCATTTTTCACTGAAATAATGAAAATGTCTGTGCCACCCCGAGTTGCTGCTGACCCCTGCCTCCACCGTTGATTTAACCCCTGCTAGTAGAGAAAGCATCTTTCTCCATTGACACAATTCAATAGCAGCCTTGTGATTCAGTCTGAACTCACCAGTGACCCATATTAACTGTGTGTTGCTGTACCATGTGCTATAGGCTAGTTTTCCTCTCTTTGCTCTGCACACATAAACTCCTGTGTGATTTAGAGCAGCAGAACTGACAGTGTAGTTTCCTCCAGATCCTCTGCTGCTGTCTGAGAGTGTCTTATAATGATGACTTCTGTAGTCTGTAAAAAGTGAAAGTGTAGAGTTACCTCAAGAAAAGAGGAGTTATATTTACATGAGACTTTTAAATTACCTTTGTTGGTATAATCAATGTATTCAGACTAGTTTCTGTTTGCTTTTTATTCTCTATAATATTTTTTTGATGAAACCAGTTCATTCAGATGATTTTTAATCTCTATAATATTTTTTGATGAAACCAGTTAATTCAGATGTTATCACAAGAAGCACACTATATCTTACCTGATGAAACAGTTTTAGTGTACCAGCTGAATGTCCAGCCTGTAGAGGAGCCTTTAACCTCACAGATCAGAGTCACTGGATCTCCTTCAGTCAACCACTTCTGTGAAGAAACACTTAAAACTGTCTTGGCTTTATCTGAAATAGACATCGCTCATTAGCCACGTGTAAACGTGTGTGTGTGTGTGTATATATGAAGTGAAGATGAAACTCACCTGATACTGTCAGTGTAACTGCATCACTGA